GAAATACCTGGAGAGTTTTGAAATGTGGTGTTGGAGAAGATCAGGTGGACGGATCGAGTGACCAACGAAGAAGTAGTGAGGAGAGTCAACGAGCAAAGAAGCATTCTGCAGGCGATTACACGAAGGAAAGCTAACTGGCTGGGACATATTATGAGGAGGAATGGATTAATGAGTGATATCACCGAAGGCCAGGTTGAAGGAAAGAGAGGACTAGGAAGAAGATTGATACAGCTAACCGACGACCTTAAACAAGGAAAGAAGATGACGTTCCAGGAATTAAAGCGAGAAGCCGAGAATAGGGACAACTGGAGAGCTCTTTTTGGGCAGAGCAAGGGACCTGTCGTAAGACAGAACACTTAATAATAATAATAATTTGTTGCTACTGTTACACGATCCACATGCATCTTTTCATGCTTTGGTCAATGAACATGACTTTCTATTAATTAAAAACATAGGTGTATGGACAATTGGGTAAATTATCGTTCCCTTCTATGGCAAACTCACTCCTGATGTAGTGTACTCCTGCCAAAACGAATAAAGCATCCATACACCCCAACAACATCTGACATATATGAGCACCCGAAGATGGTAAATTGCCAGAACAAGTAGTGCAAATGTCTTACTACAGTAATTAAAATGAACAATCATCTAGTTGTGTACAAAGCTTTATGAATAAATTGTCTTATGGTTGTTCCTGATATCTATCACCTACAACCTGTCCTTGATTTTTAAGTTAATTTCTTATTGCCAATACTTACTTGATTTCTCAATATAATCAATGCAAATGATTGTTCCTTCATAACACCTTGCATAATTTTGATTGGTTATGTATTCTTAACAAAAATGTTGTTAATTCTGCAGTTTATAATCTCACAACTCTGTGTCAGAGGCTATTAATCAAGCCACAGCCTTTGTAAAACCTAAAAATTTTACCTTTCCTCACTGGTTCCTCAAATCTCTCATATATTATATTAAGAAAAAAATGTAAGCTTTTTAATAAACTGAAGACATCTAAACCTGATATTCATTAGAGTATTTTACCTATTATCATAAACTACTTAAAACTACTACTACAGCAGATATTTTGGTTTGGTTAAAAAACTGATCACAATTTGAAGATCCAGCTAAAGTACTTTTGAAAATATATTTGTAAGTTTAAAAGAAATTATCAATCTGTTAACAAAACTGAAGTTATAGATATAACTATTACAGAGCCACAATTTATTACACCATTTGCAGACCACTTTTATTCAGTATTTAACTATACTCAGACAACTGTGAGTATACCAGTTATAATTTCTTTCATATTCCATACATTTCTGATGCAAACATTAAGCTGGGCATTAGTTGTTTCCATTCAACAAAATGTGTCAAAATATTATGAAATTCCTAAATTTTCATTACAAAAGGTTGTTCTGAGGTATCTACTATTCTTATGTGTCCCATTTTCAATCTTAGTTTACTAACTACAGTTTCCCTTGTTATGGAAGCAGGAGACTGTCATGCCAATTTATAAAAAATGCAACAGCAGTTTTCCTGCAGTGTGCACACAAATTTTTATAACAATCTGTACATTCACATGCTTACAGTTGGAAAAAGGCAATATCTTATCTTTCTTAATTAGAATTCATAATATACACACACAAACACACACAGTGCTTCACCATTAATAATTTTATTGAGCATGTGTTATGTTCTGATTTCATATGCCTGCACTCTTATAGTTTCATGAGGCAAACTTTTGTGGTGTGCAATTATGTGTCTGACAAATCAGGGTGTGCCACAGGCAAAATAAGTTTGTGTAACACTGCTCTAGATCTACCTCAATTTTAAATCATTTTTCTGTAGTTGATGAAAGACTCTCGGGCAACAAGCCGCTTCAGGTGGCTGAATGGTGAATGTACCATTTCTTCCACAAACGTTTCGAGAGCCATCTCTGCTGTGAAACGAAACTGGCCCTATGTAGTACGCTCGCCGATGGGAACTGGTGGTGGACAGCAGGTAGTAGCATCATGTTGCTTTATTTCACGCTGACCAATAACTGGCAGACAAGGTCAAGTGTTCGCTCCAGCTGGCTTGGCCTTCCGGGCAGACAGCAGTTTTGTCACAGGATACCAGGCCCAGCTCAGCGTGAAACCAACATCCCTATTGACGTTGTTGTCGTGCAGCCGGATCTCAGTGGCTTCTTTTACAAGCCGGTTCATATATCTTGATGCCCTGTCCAACACTGCAGTTCATTCACCATTCAGCCACCTGACACGGCTTGTTGCCTGAGAGTCTTTCATCAACTTCGGTCACCATGAAAGCTTCACTTTATACAATTTTTCTGTAACTTTTAAAAGTATTATACATAACAACCTTTGTTTCAATTTAAAATCTATACTACACATGTATCAATCATTGTTTTAAGTCAATAATTACAAGCATGAGATACAATGAGTTTGTATCAGACAAATTTAAGGTAGACAGAATAAATACTTATGTAAGAAGTTCTGGAACAGATGGTAACTGTCAAGACTAACATTTAACACCCAAGAATCACATCTACAAAGACATATTAACATTCTTACAATAAAATAAAATCAACAGAAGCTTGCCTTTTGTATAACCACATCCAGGCTTTTCCACTTGCATGCTGTGGTAGATGGGGAATACTCTCTTCCATTTCTGCAAGAAATGTTGGTGACACTGCTAAAGTGGGTTGCAGCCAACTAAGTCCTTGAATGAAAATCCAGCTATCAGGATCTCCCTGCAGAAATAAAATGAATGGTTGCACATAGTATCTTTACTTGTGTTTACACCTGCAAAGTCAAAGCTCAGAGCTTTTTAAACCAATGGAGTAACACAAATGTAGACAGTAACAGTGAAGTAATTATTTTACCACCATTTACACTTAAAACAATTTAGAAAATTTATGCATAGCATAACTCTGACTATACAATTACATCAGGGAATTCCCCATGGTAAGCAATGTAGCGTCATTATTCCTCACCCAGTTATATCTGCAAACACGTAAATTGTCCACACTGCAACAAAATTTGAATGTGTTGACAATCACCAAACCATTCTTAAGTTGTTACATGTTGCTGTGGATGGACACATAGACAGACATGGCAAAACTATCAGGTGCATTTCTGCAACTGTCAGTCAGAAATGCACCTGAAAATGCTTCTTTGATATGTTAACCACATACACATTACTTCACACCTTTCAAATAGTTCTATATCGGATGCATTCAAAGCTTATTAGTGTAAAAGATGCCTGCAGAAAGTTTGCTTTATACAAGATTGCACATAATTGAACATCCCATTTGAAAAAACTGAATTTTTATTAGTTTTCATAAATAAAGTAGAGGCTTAGGAAATTATTATGAACTGTTATACAGACCAGCAGTGTGAAGCAATTGTTATTTCACAAAAATCTGTCAATTTCATCTACAAATCTTCATGATGAAAGCTGTCTCTTGACCATAATTAAATGAATCTGCCAAATGTGAGTCACTCATTATTAATCAACTGATATTCAGCTGCTGTACAAGTGCATACAAAAGAAACCATAACCACCAATCCAAATGAGCTTCATAAATACTGGGAACATGACCAGATCCCCTTAAAAAAGAATGATGATTCCATTAAAAGATAATAAATTAAAACTTATTCCATGCCATACAAGTTATAAATGAGTGTATTACAGCAAACTATAGAATCACCCACAAAGTTACATTTGACTGATGAATTAAGCAAATGGCTGTTCATCCCTCAGAATTACAATCCTAATACCAACCACAACCACAGCAAAAGCTTTGGATGTTAGAATAAAAAGTAAATAAAATCAGGATAAACAGATAGATATTTGATCTCATTCTGAAAATTAAACAAAGGGGTACAAACGTAATATGTACTGTTAAAAATTTTATTCAAAAAATTAAGTCCTCTCAAAACAAAAGAATGTTGGCTCTTGTTATCTCCTGACAGACAGTCACAGAACACTACAACCAAACTTACTGAACTTTGTAACTGTGACCAGCAAATGTAGAAGAAAAGAATGAAAGTCTTAAAGGAGTTAATACTGTTTTGGTAAACAACAATGAAGCAACAATGTTGTGAAAATAAATTCATACTGCCATTTTCTTCCATCACATCTTGAGACTGATAGATATTAATTCCCCATCACTATTCACATGTCCTGTTTCTCATTATCCTTTCTATTCATGCTCCACCATCATTCATGATGACAGGCTTAATAAATTTATTCATTCATTCAATATCCTTGATTAAAGTAACAGTATAAAAATGTAAAACACTTTTAAAATATGTTCAGACAGTACACCACCATTCAGACACAACTCTCATCATTACTTCCATATCCTATTTCAATTTTCTGTTTCCTGATAACAGCAACAAAAGGAAATAAATTATAAGACAGTTCTGAATTACATTCATAAACCACTAAAACACCATTCACACACACCACTTATCATTATTCCCATATCATACAGCAGAGACCTGATTATCCAACCTTCAGTTACCTGATATTCCATTTCATCCAACATGCCAAGTCAGAATGTTTCAGCTTATCAATAATCAACTCAGCATTTAGTGAACTGAATCACACTCCCCCACTATACACCTTCTAATTTTATACTCAGCTACTACAGATGTATTATTGTTCAGGCTCAGAAGCAAATAGCCATTATTAATTTCTTCAAAAAATAAACTCAATTACAAATTTATGTCGTTAAATATTGTTTCTATTTGAGATTTTTTTATTTGATTCCATATCATATTTTCTTCATAATTTAATAATATTGTAAACTGAGTTTTAATTGAGTCGATATTCACCCTCGTATTTTACATTAGTCTTCCACATTCTGACATTTTCAATTATCCAACCATCCTTCAGTCCTGTTTATGTCAGATAATCAGGACAAATATATTTTAATTTTCCATTACCTGATTACAACCATAAAAGACATAAACTGTAAAACAGTTCTAAAATATATTCAGAGTACATGACCAATCACACTCCTATGAAAATATACTGAGGGTCTGAGCCAACAGTTTCTGTCATTATTAACATCTGTACATCCAACAAAGTGTTTTACATGTTCTCTCACATAAGGAAATCACAGGTTATTTTTCTTTTCTACGGCGCAACAGCCTGAATCAAGCCTTGGCTTCCTCTCATGTGGGAGGTTTCTTTGTATTTAAAATGTGCATTTATGAGTAGTGAGTGACCAGCCCATAAAACCACTTTACTTACTTGATACTTGATAATGACAAAAGCAGTGTCCTCCATTTTTAATCACTTAAAAACGTTCAGAGCAATGTGACAACACTATTCAAAGGTTTTTTAGAAAATTATATCCAGCAGAGTTTCTACGCATGGCAGAGATGTTAGGATATGTGCATAAAGAAGCTGAGTATTCTGAAATCATTTTGAGTTTCAAACATTTAGGATTAGGATTGTTTAGGATTATACGACAATGCAGTGCGTTTTTCCAGACAATACTGCAATTTAAAGAGTGTGATACTACCCATAACTACAATATGGAGCACAGAATTTTAAAATGTTTCAAAACCTGCATGTGTTACATGGATCGCAATATTCTCATATTGCAACAGACTGACTGTTCACACACTATACAGTATTTTCTGAAACATTACACAACACTGACAGGAAATCAATTATATAAAAGTATGTGCACAGAAAAATGTAGTGTACAGAGTGTACAGTTAGGTATCTATAATGAACACTCAACAGAAGCTTCCACTATCTGTTGGGTTGAAACAAAAGTCAAAACATTATGACTGTTAACTCATTAATTTTGTTGCCTGCAACATAAATCATTTTCTTTAACACATTAAATTGATATACACAAATCAGCCCACATTAATGATATTTCCTTGTGTTTCAGTCTGTCTGTTTTCAGTCACTGTTTTTACACAAATAATATAATAATATAAAGTCTTACATCATGATTGAAAACTCTACATCCATGTTTAAATATCTTCTCCATTGCATTATGCAATCGAATTAAGCCACCATATATATTCCATACATTTGAGACCTGACTTATTAGAAGCCCTTCAACTGTCCCCTTCAGTGACTGTAGGAGTTGCTGATATTCTTCCTGGTGATAAAATTCTTCTCTCGACATAGTGCTTCAATCTGAAATTAAACACCTGAATCAACTACAATTAAAAAGATCAGAATGCATTTTCTGGAAAATCCACTGAAGTCCCAAGACACAAAGTAATTTAATTTTAATTTTAATTTAATTTAATATATGGCCCTGTTTAAATTATCATAGTTCCTAACCATAGCAAGGTACATAAACAGGAAATAAATTTATAAAGTTGTCCAAATTACTATACTGACTCCTCCCCATTTTCCCAAACAAGATAAGGTATGGGCACCAGGCATAGAGAAATTGAGACATAACACAATTTTTACAATAATGTGTGTGCATACATTCAATAACGGACACCGACAAGTAATTTGACATAGCATTCACAGTACGGATGAACATTTCTACTACTATGTTCTCCCCCCTCTCTCTCTCACAATTGCTCCATTCACAATGGCATTCTATCTTTTCACAGATTTCTACACATAAAATAAAATGTTGCACAACAACAAAAACATGATGACTAAACCAAAATATATGTTGGGGTAATATAACTGCATGTTCTCTTTTTATTACACATAATAATTTATATTAGTTACATCAAGCACGAGAAAAGAGCAATGTTCACACCAACAGATATTTGCAGTAATTAACTACATCATACAGAGTCTTCTGAAAATTTATGAGACATAAGATTCTCAAGGTAGTGAAGATGTTAATGTTGGCCTTCTGGTCTGTAATGTTATGTGGATTTGTTGGTTGATATCAATATTTTGAAGGAAAAGCTGTGAAGTTGGAGGCAGTATATACATTCATGTTCACAACCAGAAGACAAAGATCAACATGTAGGATTTGAGGTTTCCAAAGTAGCTGTCTTCTGCGTTCTTGCGCCTTGCAGTCTGGTAGAAGTTTACAAATGTTTCAGAGGTGCCTGTTGCCTCTATCACCAGCGCAATAACTAAACAGCATGACTCTCATCCTCTTCCTAACTGGTTCATCCAAAGTTCACATTGTCCAAATAGTTCCCATATTGCTAACCAATTATATGAGCATGGCTTACTCATTACCCTGATGATGGAGGCAGCAAGCACCTCTGAAATGTCAGTAATCTTCTGTGCAACAACCCAGAAGACTGACACCTTCAACAGATATATGAGACCATCAGCAAAATATAAAGTTCTCACATAAAAAAATCATTTTTACAAAATCACAACCTCATTAGAGTTATCAATCTAACCTAAATACCCTGACTTGCTTAGAATTGTTGAACATGATTCATTTAACTTATTCACCTGTCCAACATTAGTCTATATCATTTTATCAGTTCTCAAAACATATAAAACCATTATAATAAAGTGACTATAACCAAATGAAGGCATGAAAATTAAAAAGTAATATGACAGTAGCCAAGTAAGAATTAAATAAAACCCACATCTATAACTAACAATAAAATACTTAGTGTTTGCTTATATGTTGCTGAAATATTAGTCTTCCAAAGTGAACACTTAAACAAGATGTAATTAAATGACACTTAAAAAATTATACTTACATAATGTTTAAAAGTCTTTGTAAAGATATTTAAACAAATTAACCTGGTGTGAATAATTATTTTTCATACTCCAGCTTGTTAAATCATTCCAAGTTACACAAAATGATGAAAATGGATTTTGGAAAAATATTTGATGGGGATATATGCATTATGAATGAACATGGGACTTGTCACATTAACATAAGATGAGCAAAGACTGCCACTCCCACTGCATTGCATTTAATGCTAAAATTACATGTCGTCTGTCTATACATCACATATTGTGCACTTGCCAAATGTGCTGGCAAAGTGCAACCAGAACACCCCACCCAAATTTCCATTTTATTTATTTATACTTATTCTTGTTCACATTCGGCTACTATGTAGTCAAATAATCACTTATACAGCTCTCATTCTCTTTGAAATAAAAAAATTACTTCCGTTTTCACCACTCTATTTAAATAACTTATTTACATTCGAAATTTCCCTTATCATTTACGAATCTGGGATTATTTGACAGATGGCAGCACATTTATTCCTTATACAATAATATCAAACCTCGTCAATGATGGTAAAATCCCGATAGTTCGTATCCATGATCGTAGTTGTCAAGGTCGACTTTCCGCTTGTTCGTACGACCAGTCTCGAGTATAACTTGGTAATAAATTGAATTTGACAAAAAGGTATATATATTAGGGAAGTCGGTAACGTGCGGCGAAAATTCATATTTCTAATATTTGCAAGGATTATTACAACATAAGATGCAGAACGTAATAAACACAGTTAAAGGAACTGCCTTGGGCGTAGCAGAATATCTGACACCTGTACTGAAGGTAAACATTGTTATACCTTGACGTCCAAATGTACTTGGTGCATGATGTTAGGTACAGATTGAATTAGAATTAGAATTTAGATTTCATAAATCGTTCATAGTACAAGCCAAGGATGTGGAACGTGTCATAGTATGAATATGAACACTGAGCATAGTCAAATTGTAATTACATGCTTATTACATCTGTTTACATTTATTTAATGTATACGGTATTTAATAATTTTCAATTGAAGTAAATTTTTCTATAGTGTAGAAAGAGTGAGATAAGAGATAACCATTTAATGCTGACTTATATCATGATGTAAACTTTTAATGCTGTCTGGAAGAGTATTGAACAATTTGATTCCTTCATCTTTCTGATAATTAGCGAGTAGCACTCAGTTTTTTCTGTCTGTTGAATTTCCCAAGAAGATTATTGCATGATGGATTGGAAATATGCAAAGTAAACTAATTTTAAAGTATCATTTTTCAACAGTGGTGTGTCTTTTCTCATGGCAAAGCATGCTAAAGTTACTTTGGTATAATGTATCCAATGGCCATTTTCTAGTTTAAGTTTTCATCAGTTTATAAACCAAGTAATTTCAGTTGTTTTATTACCATAACCTATATTAAAATTTATACTTGTTTTCTTGTTAGTAGTAAAGTTCAAGAATCTTAAAACTTTGCATACCGTGTAGTGTATTAGAATATCAAATAAGTAACAAACAACTATTAACACTATAAAAAAGACACTATTGCCATACGATGCCACTGATGATGACCTCTTGAGGTTGAAACTCGTATGGCAATAGTGTTTTTTATAATGTTAATAGTTGTTTGTTACTTATTTGATATTCTAAAGTTCAAGAAGTTTGTCAAAATTTAAGGTGAGTTTATTGGCTTTAAATCAGTTATTTAATTATCAAAGACATCACTAATAGAATTTAGAAAATAGTCACTATCAGGATTATAAACAGTACTAGTATCATCAGCAAAGAGTATAGAGAGAGAATTATTTGGCGGAGATCATTGATATATGTTTGAGAAAAAGAAGACCTTGAGAAACTCCATGTTTTACAGTTCCCCAGTTTGAATGAGTTAGAATTTGAATTAGGAATTTAATTTGTATTCTTTGTTTTCTGCCATGAAGATATGATCTAAATTGTTGCCCCGCTTTGCCTTTAATTCCATAAAAATTTAGTTTCAATAATAACATGTCATAATTCACACAGTCAAATGCCTTAGCAGGGATACAGAATATTCTACCAACATGCATTTTATCATTAAGGACACACAAGATTTCATCTAAGAATTTGTACAAGGCTTTGTTAGTTGACAGGACTTTTCTAAATCGTTTCTCTGGGGTACTGTCATTGTAGATGCAGGATTTTTCACCTCTTTATACCTGTGAATATTTAAGTTATTCTGGGAAGGTTCCTTTTATAAGTGATTGATTACGGAGAGAAATTAGAGAAACAGCCCACTTATCACTGGTTTTATTGAATAATGATCTTTCATAATACAATCTATAAAAAAAATGACAGTGGAACCACGGTTCCGTAGAATCTGACGTAAATACGTCTTTGTATTTAAATTATATTTAGGCAATAAATACAATGAAAGGAAGTTTATATATTAGCTTTATTCTAAATATTCCCTTTATACATGCTTTACAATTGAGTAAATAGTTTGATTAAGACATTGCTTAATTATCTATCCCTCATACGTTCAGCATTAGTTTTGGGTATTTTTTTGGGAACTTCATGTTCATTATTTAATACTTCTATTTTTTTATGTTTTCTGTACTGTCTCATATATTCTGCATTACGGACTCTTTTAGCTTCAATGTCATCCATCTTGCTATCTCTACTTAGTAGCAGTAGCGTGAAGTGCGATGCACCTTTATCCCTTACCTCACCTTTATCCTTGTGGGTAAGAAAGTTTGTATTTATGTCACCAAAGATGATAAATTCAGCTCTGGGTTTATAGCGATACTTTATATTGCATTCCGACTTAATCATGAATTGCTCAAAATCTCCTGTGGGCATTCTGTATATGGCTAAAATATACATGTTCTTTAAAGAGAAGATATAGTCTGTGACTGTAATCTTGAGACTTGAGGGGCAAGGAAGTGGTGTGAAGGAAATAGTATCTGCCTTTAAAGCTTCAGACTTCCTGCATTCCTTGCAAGTCTCAAGATTACAGTTGTGTACTGTACATTAGTTTTATATATTTGTAAATATAAGAATTTTGCCAGGTTAACCAATAAGTTTTGTTTGTTTATTTTTCTTTTTTCATTGTCACCAAACAGGAATCCAAGTTCAGGGAAACTGGAGTGTTGACTCCTGAAGAATTTGTGGCTGCTGGAGACCATTTAGTACACCATTGTCCAACATGGCAGTGGGCTACAGGTGATGAAGGCCGAGCCAAATCATATCTGCCACGGAATAAACAGTTTCTTATTACACGCAATGTTCCATGTCCTCGAAGATGTAAACAGGTATTTACAACTCATGCCTGAACTGTTGCCATGTTGACTTATATTACAAGGTTTCTACTTACTAAGATATATTTCTGTCTTGCAGATGGAATATTGTGATGATCAAGAAAAAATTATAGAAGCTGATGACCCCGATGGAGGCTGGGTAGATACTCACCACTTTGACACAGGTGCTTCAGGATTAGATGATAAATTTTCTGAAATGACCTTGGAGTCAAAGGTTAGTAAAAGGATAGTAGTGCCATGCTGCATTCATTGAACTTGAATCAGTTGAATTTTAAAATTTATGCTTCTAGATTGAACTTTCCAACAATGTAGACAATGGTAAAGATGATGATGATGATGATGAAGAAGAAGAAGAAGAAGCTGCAGACATGGAAGAGTTTGAAGAGAGTGGACTACTTGATGAACAGGATAAGGTAATGCATATGATGTACTTGATTTGTTCATTATTTGAAATTGGACATCTAGAAAATTTCCACAAAGTCTGCACATGTTGATATCTGTTTTAAAAGAAGGAAAGTGACAGAGGTAATAAAACATGATGCTTTAAAGTTGGCTGTCTTTTGGGTTGTTGCGCCATGTAGTCTGGTAGAATTTTACCATTTCAGAGGTCCATGCAGTCTCCATCATTAGGGCGATATCACCCTGATGATGGAGGCAGATTACAAGTACATAAGTGCATTTTCCCTTCACCCTGTCTTACAATCAGATGTCACTTACAAGACCTGGAATTTGTAATAGTGCCAGTACCATGCCAAATGAAGTTGACAATTTCTCATTAATCTGTAGGGTCAATCTCCCACTTTGTCCTATTCACATGTAATACAGTGCTGTGCAAAATAGTTTTGCCTTTCATGATTCGTGTGAATGATTAATTTTTTGATATATATGCATGTTTTAATTTACAAAGGCAACTCTGGATACTCTGCAAAATACTGAAAAGGCAGTTGGAGACACTTCAAATCAAGTTGGAGGAGAAATCATACACACAAGGACTTACGACCTCCACATTACTTATGATAAATATTATCAGACACCTCGCCTATGGCTGTTTGGATATAATGAGGTAAGTTTGTATAAATTTGAAAATTAATTGTAATTAACAGAATTTAGTAGTATGTGCTATGTGAGATGTTAAAAAAATGTTATGCTTTCAGAATCGAAAACATCTAACTGTAGAACAGATGTATGAAGATGTAAGCCAAGACCATGCCAAGAAGACAGTGACAATGGAGACACATCCTCACCTTCCTGGACCTCCTATGGCTTCTGTTCATCCATGCAAGTGAGTGATGTCCATTTCTTTTTACACTGTGCTCTTATACACATGTGGACCATAACATTGTATGTGATGATTATTTCTGCTGGTCTGTTTCGGTTTTAAACCATTGTTGCACAGTATTTAATCTTTGTCATGAATGGGGAGTGGAGGATAGTCATTCATCCTTAGTCATCTTGAATGATATTCCATAGATCTCATGACCCAGAGAACAACATCCATTCCAAAAGTATTTTAAAAATATATTTAGAATGTATCTAATATTTGGTCATGTCTAATTTTTGTGTATTGTTCAAACTCCCCCCCCCCCCCCCCCCCCTTCTGGCTCTTGCGAAGATAGTAAAAGAACTTCGGGTTCCATAAAAGGCAGGGAATTTCTTGACTAGCTTAGCATACTATTAACTTCTTTTCAAGCTCCATGGAATCTCGTTTAATACATGCTCAGAAGCTAGAAAGGAGCAAAGGTCATTCTATTATTACTTCTCACCACTGAAATTAAAAAAAAAAAGTAAAGCTGTCCCACTATACACCCCTTCTCAACCTTCACCTCAGCACTAGATGGGGGTGAGTGGCTGGCATCACACCCCAGCCATGCTTTACCCCCAGGAAAGGACCCTGGCACCCACTGGATAGGAGGCTGGGTGGGCGGGACCCAGAACTGGTCTGGACACAGAGGCTAGAGGAAAACATCCTCTGCCCCCCCATCAGGGATCGAACCCTGGTCATCCAGTCTGTAGCCAGTCACTATATTGACTGAGCTACGCTGGTAGCCACAAAATATGGTCATGTTTTAATAGTATCCAACTGTAGATATAATAAATTCTTGGGCTACCAGCCAGGTCCTCGTTGTTGTCCTCCAGGTACTGAAGTTCAGTACCCAGAGAACAAGGACAAAGATGGTTCTCAAAATGGTGTTTTCTCCATTCAGCCACCTGACACAGCTGGTAGCTCAAGAAGAATTTGTTTTATTTAGTTGCCATGAAAGCTTCAGATCATACACAACTGTAGATTGATTGGTTTACGATTCTGTTTTGTTGCCAGGCATGCAGAAGTAATGAAGAAGATCATCCAAACTGTTACTGAAGGAGGTGGTGAGCTGGGAGTCCACATGTACCTAATCATTTTTCTGAAATTTGTACAAGCAGTAATCCCAACAATAGAACATGATTTTACTCAGAATTTCACAATGTGATTCAAAACAGGAAAATTTGCTCTCCTTTGTTCATTCATTACTTTGCGGGAAGCCTGATGCATTAAAATGGCTACAAACTGAGATGGCAAATATGCATAAGCATTCCATGTCATCATAACTTGCCTTTTTGCTTCAGCTCATGAGAAGTAGCAAACTGTGTTTAAAAAACCATGCAAGTTTGCTTGATTTTTGATAGGTTTATGTGTGATAAACCTCAGATGAACTGTTGTGTATTTCTGTTGTGATTACATTACTACATTATAGCACAGCAACAGTAAGATGCTGGATGTAATATACTTAAGCTTGCACGCTATGCTATTAATGTAAGAGTACTTCTCTTTTACTTCTGTTTAATGACTCTACAGCAGTAGATATACTGACCTTGTTAATCTGATATCAAGTACAAGCCTAATAATTGCTTTGCAAAGCAATCACAAACTAAAATATAAAAGATAGTGAACTACACTGTAATGTGTAATGCTTGACTTGACACATTGCACAGTGTGCTTGATTCCCTTCCCTCAAAGTGTTGTTTCACCAATTACTAAAATGTAATTTGAAAGTAGCATGTTATGAACACTTCAAAATAAAATAACAGCAAATATTCTGTAATACCCGATGCATTGAAGTCCCTAACTTTGGTCATGAGAAATAATAAACCTTGACTTTTTATCATCTGTCTGAATGTATGTGAAAATGTGAAGCTAAAGGAACAGAAAATGCAATACGTAACTCTGTTAAACATTAAGAAAGTTATGACTATTGTTATAACATGTATGGGAAAGTGGCAAGCCTGGAAGCAGGTCATATTGAAGAAGAGGTGTTCATGTGAGCATTAATGACATCAAAGCAATGCTGAGACATTTTTAATACACTGCTTTCTTTGAAAATGAATTTTCAAGTAAATTTTAAAGAACAGTAATTTTGGTAAAGTGGGAAGACTGAATGTTTCCATATAACACCCCACCCCCACCCCCATCTATTTGCAGTCAACATTTACCTTACAGCGTTGTACCTGAGCATTGAGAATTTCCTTTGTGGTTTAATTTATTTTGGTGCACAACCTGACTAATTGTACTAGCAAATAAAGGTTATTACACATATCTAATTTTTATGGCATCTTTTTAAACTTTTTGGTAGTCAATTATGTTCACATGTCTCAAGGCACCCGATAGTTTTGAACCAGTGGAATGACAGTGATGAAACTTATGATTACTCCTTTTGGTTTCACCTAGTCATTTTTTTAAGTCTTCCTATTTGAAATTTATCCCAATTCAGTATGTTTCATTCAGTAATTAAAGTGTAATGAGAGATCGTATTTTAAATAATACTGTAATTGGCACCAAGTGAAAAGAATTTATCAAGACATCAGAATGCCACCTATTGTATAGATCAGGGGTCAACCTGGTCCCTACTGCCCACTAGTGGGCAATTCAAGCTTTCATGGTTGGCGGTGGGGTTTTTTGTCCGTTGTTACAAATTTTGTTCTTCCTCCATATATCGAATACATTGCTAACAACTTCGCGAGTTTCACTTTTTAAAATATGCTTTTGCAATTTACTTTTGAATTCCATCTCTAAACTTTGAATATAGATAATAATTCACCGGACACTTCTCGAAGTATACTCGTGGACGAGGGAGCAACGAATGAGCTAAATAGCCAAAGGCATGAGTTTAGTGCGCAAAACAAGGGCGGGGCTTACCACCGGCCATCACTGTCTTCGAGCTGCACCTCTTTCATGGTGGTGGGCAGTACGTGCGGCACCAGTGGGCAGTAAGGAAATTTTACCATCAACAAAGATACAAAAGTGGGCGGTAGGTATAAAAAGGTTGACGACCCCTGGTATAGATGAAGAACTGGATAGATATAAATGTACTTCATGTGGATTCTGCAGTTTTAGGAAGACTCCAAATTGTACAGCCTATGGAATATTCAGCTTTGGTTGTGGTCAAAATATTGCATGAAAATGAACGTACTAGGTGTGTTCCAAGTGTGGTAGCCCTAACCAAACAGAACATCATACCCTTGGTCCTCGGCTAGAGGCTACATTTCTGACCCAGCACTTTGCTGGTCTTGGAGAAATTTTGAGTTCTGGTGTATTCCAACTGTTTTCTGCCGATTTGCTGGTAGAATGTTTTCCTGTTAGAAGTTGGCAGTTCCCACACAGTCACTGCCTCACATCACAGTGAGAAAGTCATGTGAATTTGTTTTCCTATTAATTATGAAAATAATGAGGCTTTCAGTTTCATGTTCACAAGACACAAAAATGCCTTCAGTAACAGTCATGAATTGGTAATGTTGTGTGGGAGTGATGGAGGTAGTGGGTTCATAAATTTAATGAGACACTCAAAATGACCCCAAGTTCAGTGCCCTTCTCAACACCTGCACATAAGCCCCCAAACAGATAATGATCATAGGTAAGAGACAAGTTTACATTAAGGATATGAGAATACAAATAAGTATCTCAGATTGTCATGCAGCACAGTTCATCACATAATTAGAAACAAATTTCACATGTCAAGCCAGATGGGTTCTAGAGATGAATGCTAGGTGATGCCAAAGAGGACACGATTGTTGCATGCTGATGTCTTGTATGCCACACAGTGAATTCAGATGTTTTTTTTGATTCAGACACTCAGCACAGACAAGACATAGATGTATATATACAATCATGAAACAAAAAGAATACAAACAATGAAATCAAGTTTAATTCCCCACATCATTTTGTGCTGCCACCTGAAGGTTTTCCATGTCATTACAAGGTTTCTATTACCCAGAGGACCATGTAGGGACATTCAATTCCACACTTGTTTGATTTTACAAGTTTTATCATGTGTTTCATTTGTGAAGTCTAAATATTCTAATACCCTGCCATGGCTGCATAGTAAGGTTATTTTAAATGTTTACATTGTCAGAGGGTTAATGTCATCAGTATTTGGTCATAATGAAGACCAAGAACTAGGACACATGTTACTGATGAATATTGAGAGAGTGAGGAACATGAAGCACGACAAAAAAATTAAGCCTGATATTGATAGATTAATCTGTTTGGTGGCTCCGTCACCATGGCATGGCACGTCCTCAGGTTGCAGATGGAGGAACAGTTTCCATGGAGGTTAGCTGCAGATATATTGAATAAGAAGTGGACAGCTGACAAGGGGTGGTCCTCCAGCTTGGAGGTTAGGCATGAAGCTAACCACCTTTCACCATAAAAAACTGTCTTCTTATGAAAATTTCTATCAAGCCTCAAAACCAGACAGACTCTTTGGCATGACCATGGCAGTTTAAAAAGGATTTGAGATTTGGTACCTGGAGAGTCTCTATAGGGCAGGGGCACAGAAATCAGTGAGTAGGAATTAGAGAAGCATAAGTTGGATTTAGTGGCAGTGCGGGAGGTGTGATGGGAGGCAGAGGGCATGATCCCAGTGGAAAATGTTGTTTTTTCTATGAAAATGGGAATGATAATCAGTTAGGGACAGGTGGTGTCCCCTCATAGCAGAATTAGGACAGTGGTGAAGACAGTATAATTTCTTAGTGACAGGTTCTTATGTAATTCCAGCAGGGTGTTGGTGTGACATTATTGCCCTTAATATTCATGCCCCAACTGAAGACAAAAGTGATGATATTAAAGATAGCTTTTATGAAGTAGAATCGGTATTTGATTCATTTGGCAGGTATCACATGAAAATTCTGCAAGGATATTTCAATGCAAAAATTGGGAGAGGATATTTTCAAAGCCACAATAGGTAATGAGAGTCTGCATGCACTTAGTACTGACAATGGTTAGAGCAACAAACTTTGCCGCATCAATGGATTTAATTGTAAAGAGTACAAAATTTCTGCATCATAATATTTATAAATACACTTGGACCTATCCAGATGGTAGCACACACAATCAGATAGGTCATGTTATAGTAGATAATAGAAGGTAGGAAGGTATACTGTAGCAAAATTTCAGCCAAAGAAGAACTAGGATACTACAGGAGGAAGCAAAATAAACCATGGTTTGATTAAGAATGTTCAAAATTGATAGATTGAAGGAAGCAAACAAGATTTCAATGTTGCAGAACCGAAACAAAACGAATACGGATTATCTATGTAACATAAGACGTGAAGTTAGTAGAACCTTTAGGAATAAGAAACGGGAATATCTGAAAGGTAAAATTATTGAGCTTGAAAGAAATAATGGCAAAACTATCAGATATATGTACAGAGGCATAAATGATTTATGAAAGGATATCAACCTCAGGCTAATTTTGTAAAGGATGATTATGGAACTTACTTGCAGATCAAATCAAAAGTTTGAATAGGTGGAAACATTTCTTTAACTAGCTCTTAAATGATCATGGGACTGATGATGTTAGATTAAAATACATACAACTGAACTGTTAGTGCCAGAACCTAGTTTAAATGAAGTTGAACTAGCCATTGGAAAGTCAAAAAGTTATAACTCTCCAGGTTCTGATCAAGGTAGTAAAAACTTGCATATGGAGATGCATAAGCTTATTCAGTTAATTTGGGATAGGGAAGAGATACCACAACAATGGAAGGACTCCATAATTATTTCTATTCATAAGAAGGGGGACAAGACTGAGTGTGGTAATTACCGAGGAATTTCTCTATCAACCTCATGCAAATTGTATCAAACATTCTTCTGGCAAGATTAACCCCATATGCAAATGAAATTATAGGGAATCATCTGTGTGGGTTCAGATGAAACAGGTCAACGATTGATCAGATCTTTTGCATTTGTCAGATACTAGAGAAAAAATGGGAGTTCAGTGGGACTGCACATCAATTATTTATAGATTTCAAAAAAGCCTATGACTGTGAATAGAAAAGTGCTATACAATATTCTCAATGAATTTGGTATACCAAAGAAGCTAGTGATTCTAATAAAAATGTGCTTAAATGAAACCTGTAGCAAAATTCATATAGGTAAATATTTATCTGACTTATTTTCCATCAAGAACGGTCTGAAACAAGGAGATGCTTTGTCTCCATTGCTCTTTAATTTTGCATTAGAATACGCCATCAGAAAAGTCCAAGATAGACAGGAAGGTTTGCAACTGGCATATGCTGATTATGTTAACTTAAATATTATTAAATTTCAGCTGAATTGCTTGAGATTTGTCAAATTTAAAATAAACTGTAACCTGTTTAGGGAAGAAATGTATGAAGTTCTTTATCTCACAATGTGTTGATACAAGCAATTTCTTCCATCTACACAAAGACAACTACAATGAAACTGTAAAGGTATGGAAACAAATTGTTAGCAGTTTTAATTTGGATCATTCTTTTACATCAGGTAAAACCTAAAATTAAAATATGAAGACCAAGGTATATAATTTCTACATATTTTATTTTATTATATTTAGATGGGTATTTATTTTAACATAACACTCAAATGTAATTTTAATTTATAGCATTATAAACTATACATAGCCTTCTTGAATTTGTGTATTTGTGGCTTCATTATTTTGCATGAATTTTCAACTCAGGTTCATCCATCAATCTGATAAATTTCCTGTTCATTATTTAAAATCCAGCATTAACATATTTGTAAAGAGAACCAAGTCCTCTTCAGTTAAAGATTGCTTTATATACATATAATCATTCTGCTTCCTTTTGTATTCTGCAGTAATCAAACTCTGTGGATTTGTCTAGTTCCCACAACCACAAATTGCACTTCATCCATTTCTATTTACAATGAATATGTACAACAGTTCTATACGTTATAGTGTATGCCACAGCGCACACCAATTTATATTAATAAACAAATTTACCATTACATGAAATAAACTTCAAAATTGCAATGAGACACTGAAAAATGTTCTACTTTATAGCCAGAATTCATGAGAAACATCTAACCTTGAAAGATGTGAAGTTATGTTTAGTTTCTTTTGCATGGTCAGTTCTGTTATTTGCACATGGATTGTTCAAAATGACAATATCAGACTGATTTTGACCATCATATCTGTGCAACCTTCTTACTCGAGAACTCTGATTAATACACCCAGTTGTGTATGTCACACTGCATCAAAACCTGTCATATTACCTGTTGTGAATGATAAACTCCAAAATGGCCCACTCCATGTTTCATAAAACAGTTTCAGGTCAACATCTGTATTCAGTCTTGATTGCCCATATTACCCTGGACATCCCAAAAAAAATATATCAAGTTCATAACTTAGGAGGGTAAATTCACAAATTCATGCACTGTGAGACATAATACACCCACAATAACTAGGCAGAAAGTAACAAGAGGCCTAGGAAAATAAACACTTTAGTTCAGATATCTCACACTTTTGCAAATGATACATCAAACTGCTACTTTAAAAAGGAGGAATCAGATCAACTCCTTATAAAACTCATGAAAATGGAAAAAATGGCAATAGTTCAGATTCCTTAAACCATATCCTGGTACAGAGTATCAATCACAGATAAAACTCGTGAAATAATACTGTTCTTACAGCCAAGTTTCACTCACAATGGCTCATTTAATGTCACTAAGTTGCGGCAAGATAGTCAGTGCTCAGACTAAGTGGGTCAACTTCATATGATGTAACCAATCTCACTTTCTGTCCATCTTGTGTCATGAATTCTATGGCCTGCTCCTCTTCCACCAGATGTGACACATCCTCTTCTGTCTCCTGGCTTCCAGTCTAAAAATGAAAAATTCAAAATACAAAACAGATTATAATCAGGGTGAAATATAACAGTAGTTTCTCTATTGGAGACACTGGTCATAAAGCATGTTAAATATTTTTGAGACATTTCAATAATTTTTAAAATCTATGGCTTTTGTGGCAACCAAATTCACTGAAGTCTTCTCAGGCAATCAGCTATGTCAGGTGGCTGCAAAAAGCAAATGTTTTGAGATCCGTCTCAGTCCTCATCATAGGGAGCAGATGTCTGCGGAGCCCAGGGACTTCCATATATTTACCCTGCCTGAATTGGTTGCTGTCAGCCATTGAGGCTAATAGGCAGTCACGTGTCTAGCTCTGCTTGGCTTTGCCTTCCCAATGGCGAGTCTCTGGGTCATCTGAGTACATTGATTATTGGGTACCATGTGTGACTGACTGAGAGTGAACTCTTCATTGCTGTTAAAGATATTGTGTGCTGTATTGTTACAGTGTTCCGCCACTGCCAACTTCTCCAGCTACTCAACGCAAACATGCCTTATATGCTGCATCTAGCCTCAACAGTTCTGTCTGTCTGACCCACATAAACTTTACTGCATTCATAAGGTATGCAGCAGATACCAGTGATGTTCAGACCCAGTTTGTCGTTAAAAAGTCTGAGTGAATGGATATTTTTCTTGGCTGGAGTGTGGATGGTCTTGATGTATTTATCCAGCAATCTGCCAATCTTGATATGGTTCATTGGTAAGGCAACATGACTACACTAGTCAGTTTTTCTGGTTGTGTTTATGGCATTTTCTTGTCTTGCCTGATGTCTTTGTTACTGTATCTGTCTTTTTCTGAATGTCTTCTTTAGGTGTTAAATTTCTGCATCAAGACTGCCAGCATCGCAGATCATCCATGCACATTGAACAAGTGTTGTTAGCACCGCCAGCTTCTGTGCTGAGGAAGAAGGTAGAGGTTGGTGTGTGTAGGTTTTCTATACACTATGCGGCCAAGTGATCCATCATGTCTCCTGCTGACTAGGATGTCTAAAACCAGAAGTCATCAGTTCTATTCTGTCTCCATAGTGAACTTTATATTTTGATGGATATTGTTAAGACATTTCAGGAATTCTTGCCTGTTTTCCATGAGGCCATACAAATACATAGTCCACATATCTATACCAATGGTTGGGCTTCCTAATTGCCACACTTATGGCTAGTTTGAAATATTCCATGTATTCGTAGTAGCTGGCTATCACTGGGTCGAGAGGCAAATCCATGGCAACACTATCTTTTTGGTCATACAACACATCATCGTATAGAAAGTAAGTTGTGGTCAGGACCTTTTTAAAAATACTTATAGTCCAGCTGTGCAAGTGCTTGACAGCATCTGTAGTGTTCCTCTAGTGGGACCTTGGTGAACAAGACTATGTCAAAGTTCACCACGATGTCCATATCCAGTATGTTTATGGTGTTTAGTTTTCTGGATAAATGTCTCAGAGTACTTGATGTGGTGGGCTGTATGTCTGACAAGTGGAGTAAGTAGGCCTGTGAGATGTTTCACCAGCAGATACGTGGGTGATGCAGTACAGCTGACAATGAGTCTCAGTTCCACATCTTTCTCATGGATCTTTGGCAGTCATACAGTCTTGGTGGCACTGAAGTGTATGGAATCTGCTTCTTTATAACATCTTCAGAGACATAAGACTTTATAAAGGAAGTTGTTTGCCTCTCTATCTTGGTGGTCAGAACCATTGTTAGTCTCCTGTAGACAGCACCACTCATAACAGTTTTTATCTTGTTGTGGTAGTATTGCTTGATACCACAACGGCCTTGTCAGCAGGGAGAATCATGATACCGTTATCATTTCGTGGATTCAGCACAGCATACTGTTCTGCTCTTGAGATGTTCATATTCTTCTGCAGCTTGGTGTGTCATGATCTGGCTGGTCTCCTGTCTGTCTGTCACCTTAATTGGCTGATTGCCCAAGAAAACTTCAATATTTATACTTCTAAGTGTTATATTATATAATGAACAAAACAGAACCATAACTGGTTTGTTAGTTTTTCTAACAAAGTCTTTAATTACCTGTAAATAAATGGATGAAATATAGATTACTATTTCGCAAACAATTTGTTATAGCCATTCCACACCAAGCTGTTTCTTGCCATCTGCTTTACAAAGTGTAACATATTTGTTTTATTTGCAGTACTGTGTATTCTCTGGTCTTCACTTAATAACCATTCAATTGTGTGTTTGTTTGCGGGCTCAGAGGCATGTCAGCTTCTAGAGCCACTTGCACCCTTTCAATTGTTACAAATGTGATAACTGGTTACTACTACTATTAAATTTCCCTGCCATCTCTTGACAGTTCAAATTAAGTATTTGTGAATTTTATTAGTTTCATAATTTGATGTACCATCAGTTATTACACAACAGGATGCTATACTGTAGTGTTTGTGTACTTTGGGGGGGGGGGGGGGTGTTAATATTAAGTAATTCAAAATAGTAATTTTAATTTATTAATATTATCTTACTGTATTTACACTTTCTGTTGTGAATATTTCTGTGAACAATGAGTCTTATTCCTGTAACACGTGGATGCTGCCATTTATTCTCTACCATACAGTACATTAATTGTTACTGGCCAAATAAAGAAGACACTTTTATAAGAATGTCTGTGCAGACAAATGGCCTTTGGTGCAGTCTGAAGATATGAACCATAAATCTGAGTAAAGAAGGTTCTATTTTTAATAATTAAATTACTTTTTCAGACTTCCTACACTTAATATTTCCTCTCAACTCTCATGATGCATTTACTTACAGTTATGGCACTGACAATGCCATCTGTGTTATCAACTTCAACATGTTGCAACTGACTTTCCATTTCTGTGGTAATGTGCTGACCACCATGAGTCATTAACTGTAATGGAATTGTCTGACCATCCACTGTGGTCATTACTTGAATAGACTGCCCATCTGTTGTTGTAATCTGTAATTCAAAACCACCATTATAAATAAACCCCCTAAAACATTCTATAAATGAAATGTATACTTATGAGGATTGTGGTAATCTGCATTATAACACTGTGTAATCTTGTTTGTACCCTGAAGATGAAGTAAGCCCCTACAAAACAACTGAAGTCAATCCAGAAACCATAATCCTCATTTTGACTGCCACAAATACCTCAATTATTCCATACTTACAACACTACACTCAGAGAAAAGTTTTGACACATTGGAACACATAACAGTGTAACTGCAGTAGAACAAATATGGTATACAATCATAACTTCATTATCCCATGCAGATTTATAGGTGTCTTTGTGTCACTGTGGTCGTCAAACCTTATTTCAAGCTAATCCATGCACCAAGCATATCAGAAGTGTTTTGCAAGGCGAGCCCTACACAAACCTTCCTCTTCTTCCTGGATGCCAGTGAGATTATGGACAATAGATGCAGTTCTAATAGTTTGTACTGCACAGAAAAGGAAAGAAATACAGCCTCAAATTCAAACCAAGAAAGTGGAAATGATTCTGACTTGTATCTCAACCATGGTACATATTACCATGACTGAGGATTTTTGTGGTTTCCTTCAATCACTCCAAATAAGAGATTGGGTAACACCTTGAAATAAACCATGACCTCCCCCAATCCTTTCAAGTTCACTTATGTTACTTCACAGAAAATACACTTCTTTATAAGACAGATGGAGCATGACCAAAGGAAGATCAGTCCATGCTAGACATATATATACAAACAAACTTTTCTTTCTACTGAGAGGGAAGGTGTATATTTCAATTACAAGTGAATCTCTGACTATCTGTGAAGACTTTGAAGCACTTTAACATTATGCATATTTTACAGTAAAAACTAAAAACACATCAGTCTTTACATACATGCCTATTTTAGTTCCATTTTCAGTTGTTCAGGTTGTTTATTTTTCTGTTTCAATTAATTATTCTCAGAAATTAACCCCATACTTTACATTATGGTGGCCAAAAGTCTTGGAATCAAATGTACTTGACTTGGAACTGCTATATGGATGTTTGTTTGGTTTGGTTTGTCAAGCCTCTTAGTGACATGGATACAATCCTTTTCAGAGTTCTTTGTTCGTTGTCTGATTACAGAACACTTTATCAGCAATGAGTTCATTCAAATCCGAAAAGTAAAAATGGCATTAGGCATACAGGTCCATGTTTGGAATAAACTCCTTCAGCAGACACATCATATAAATGAGTAAGAATAGTCAAAAGATTATTTCAGTTGTGACACAATCTGCTCCAGTTGATGTCATTTCATTTGAACCAAAAGCTTTGTTTCTAACACAGGAACTAAATTTCATCCCACTCCCTGCAATGTGACTTAGCTGATTTGAGAATTTGAATCAGCTTGGAATGTTTGCACTGTCTACCATGTATCAACAGGAAAAGATTGTAAGTTATTCATACAGCTGTAATGCAATAACTCCATACTGCAAGAACTGTTTCGTCAAGACGAACGAAACAGACCAGGTGGAAAGTGGCCTGAAAACAACGCCCTACCACCCCCAGCAAGCACCCCATGGGATGTCCAAACGGGATAGTCTGTTACACTGAAGAGTTAGCAATTGTATCACTGTGCACAGAATATCTATGCATGAAATATGAATTAAAGTTTGAACATGCTACATTCAAAATAAAAAGAGCTTAATATTCACACATTACTTTTAAAAAACTACAATATTCTAGGTCTGTAAAGCTTGGCAAGTCCACACAATATTAATGTGAATATCTCAATTTGTCAAATAAACCAGAGATCTGTTTTCCATTAGCAGTCTACGTACAACAGTATGATTGTTACCTGCAACGGCCGTCCATCCTGCATAGTGAACTGGATGGGGTTACCATCCTCATCTGTTACATGTAGTGAATGGGAACCAGAGAGCTGCATGGCCGCTGCTGCCTGCGAGAGATGACTCAATTCAATTCCATTTGTGCCAACTGTTCCTGGAGCTGTTATTATCCCTCCTACTGAAGTCACAGACTCAGGTTCTTCAGCCATAGACATATCACTCTGTTGCTCGGGCTGTTCAGTCTGTACCAGAGAATTATAATCACTACATAAATTGTGCACTATGTTCCCTCAGCTATCAGTCACTATTCACATACTCAAGAAATATCACCCTGACAATACTGGGGGAGGAGTACAGATTTTTAAGCTCATCATTATGCAGCTTTCTCCATACCCCATCGTCTTCTCTCCTGGGCCCAAATATCCCCCTCAACACCCTATTCAATTGCAGGTTACACAGCAACAAAATGAAAGGACCAGATTCAGTATAGATAAACAGTGACCAGACACCTGAATTATTCTGACAGCTTTCTTAATGACAACTAGATGAGTGCTTTTCCAGTTCTGTGGTTACAGCCCAATTCACATATCCAAAACCATAAGTTGGATAGAAAGTCCTTCAATTTCAATAATGGCAGAAAGGTATACTTCACACACACATATTTCCCAAATGTATTCATTATCATTTTCCATACGTTATTGATCTTGATGTGCATTAATTACAAATATAAATCTGTTGCAAAGGTAATCACATCTGAACAGAATCAGAAATTAATTTACCTTGTACAGGATCTAGCAGAGAAGACAGACATTTTTATGTTTAGGAGAGGAGGTTTTCAAGGCCACATGCTGAACATGGGAGTTTTGGTTGGAAACATGCAAGCAACAGTCAAGATGGATAACTGATTGTCAGAGCACTGTGTTGCCTGTGTGCAGTTCTTTGAGAAACAGAATCACTTATTCAAATGCAGTGCAAATATTAAAGAAAGTTTAATGAGAATAGGGTTCCTTCTCATAATGTAACAAAGGTGTGGGTATTGTGATGGTATGAGAATCAAAGTATACAAGGTAAAAAAAATCATGGTCAGCAGCCTTCAGTTCATATGCTTGAGAACAATGAGTATGTTACAAATGATGTCATTCAGAGTCCTCAAATACCTAGTCAACAACAAGCTTCAGTGCTAGGCATGTATGCAGTTAGAACTGTACATATTATGCAGCGTCCACTAACTGAGGGAAGTAGCTAAGCAAACACAACTGACATTGTGCAGAGACCTTTTCAAACTTCAAAATTATCTACAGATATCTATGATCATCTATTAATGAGTGATGAATCCACAAAGAACCCAAATCAAAACCAACAATATTTGCTTCATTTTCCAAAAGTTACAGTACAGTATGCCAGTTCAGTTGCATGTGTAATCAAACCATACTTTTTGAAGGCAAACATGGTCTCCCTTAGTAGCTTCATAGACATACAATGCTGGGAACAGTTCTTCAATTTGAAATTGCTATGTGATGAGTAAGATGGTGCCACATCACATACTACATGAATGAGTATCGAGAAGTTGCACAAGATGTTTCCACACTGTCTAATCTCATTGTTTGGTGATTTAAATTGGCAGCCATGATCTCCTGATTCGTCAACCCCAACTATGTTTTTGAGGTTATCTGAAAAGTTGCATGTCTGAGATGTGGCCCACCACTTTGAATGAACTCAAAACCAATATCAGACAAGCAATTCAAGTTATACCCCATAACGTGTTACAACGCTAGATGGATGATTTCACAAAGTGCATCACTGTGGAAGGGAAACTGCACTGTACTGTTTTTTCAAAAAGTGGACAGTACAAGTATCAAACTTTATTTCCAAGATTTATGTCATATGTTATCTATATTCAAAGCACATGTTGCATTTAAGAAGGCAATGCAAGTTCCGATGGCCTCGAGAGCTATGTTAGCAGGAGCAAGACCAAATGTAGTCAACTGATCATCCGGGTTGGCAGTTGGGCATTTCGCTAATGACTTCACCCTGTAAAACTTCTTGTTACAAAACCTCAGAGGTAGCCAAGGTTCTTCAAGAAAAGTAGATAAGAGTTTATATTGTTTACTCAAAGAAACACAATTTATTAACAAATAAAGAGTCCTCTCTCTGCCAGACATTATTTCTTCTTAAATGTTAACCATACTGAAAACATGTTAAATGAAATGTATAAATATTAATGAGATTTTAATTATCTATGTCACCTGCCAGTTTGTTTATATTATGGGCTGTTTTAATAATATCAACCAAATCCAATTTGAGTTTTATGTAAAGTACATGTTATATGAAACAAAGACAAATAGAAATTATCTTTGCTTGGCAACATGTAGGGTAGAAAGAAACACAAAATTGCACTGCAATCTGTTCATACGATTTGAACATATGACATGTGAACAAACAAACAGATGCAAACACCCCTACATGTATGCACTTTCTGAAAATGCATAAAAGTTTGTTTTTTTCTACAAAATGATGCACTCACCTCTGATTCAGCATCAGCCTGCATGTCATCTACAATATGAAGAGTTTTGGCTTCACTGGGGTCATCTGGATCCTGATATGTTACATAAATAATCTGCTGCACACCATCACCTTCCTCTCCTGTCCTTACTTCATTATCTATATTTCCATCATTTTCCACTTCTTTTGACAGATGTGAGCGGATAATATTCCAAACTGTGCGATCTACAGAAATACCTCCAGCTCCTCCAATAATGCCATCCTTACTGTCACGATGGACCTAAAACATAAATCCATTACACACAACCAAGTTTAATTGTTAAATTTTAAGTGTCTGTTAAAAATATGTCACAGAATCCAGTACCCAAACATATTTAACAGAATCTGCTAGGGTATACAAAACAGAGACCTGTCCATCACATTATACAAAAAATACACCACCATCCACCAATACAGATATCAAATAAAGTTAAGATTTGAAGCTGTCATGGCAACTAAATGAAGGAAGGATCTACAACAGCCAATCAGAATGACTGAAAGCTTGACTTCACCCTGTCCCTACTGGCTTGCTCACATACTGAGAAGACTTCAATGAAATGATCATATCCTTACAATCCAAATACCATGTTACCATACATAAGGAAAATTTTGGGCACTGTATTTCCATTCTTTTCATCTGAATCTCCTTTTCATTAACTCTAGAATGAGCAGTGCCAACCAATTCAATAATTGTTTCTGTTGTTTCATTGGGTTGTGAAACTTGGTCCCTCATCCTAAAGAAAAAACACAGGTTAAAGGAAGATTTTTGAGAACACGGTTTACATAATTAGGTGTTTCATTAATTTGTACTCTGCCGATTATTATTTAGATGATGAAATCAAAATGGATAAGACAGGAGGGACACATAGCAATCAGATTAGAAATGCACACTAAATTTTGGTTGGAAAACCTAAAGGGAAGAGAGTGGAAAAACTTGGATGCAGGTGGGATAGTAACATTAAAATTGACCTGAAATAGAGAGGATGTAAACTGGCTTTGCCTGGCTCAGGATTGGCAAACACAGTAGAAGCAGCAGTGTTAATTTCCTGAATTAACAGATAACATCTTTCTTACAAAATATAACCAAAGAAAAACTGAAGATGCTCTTTCTGAAAGGTCTGAATTGTCAAAAACTATAAATTATTGTTCCAAAGGCTCTCCCAATTTATCTGTAAGAACATATAATGGATCACTGAATTGACAAAAAATCTGAAACTGCACTTTTTGAAATAGTTTTTTATATTGAATAATTATAAGCAGCTACTTCCACAGTTACAAAACAAATTGAATTGAATTAATAATGTTACAAATATTAACTTGCCTTTTTGTGCTTGGTAAGGTTTGAGCAATCAGCAAAAGCTTTCCCACACATGTTACAGGAGTAGGGTTTCTCGCCAGTATGTAACCGCAGATGTTTCTTCAGTGCCCATTGTTCTGTGAATCCTCGTGCACAGAAATGGCACTGGAATGGGCGTTCCCCTTTATGCCGTCTAGTGTGACATTTCCACGTATCTTTATGCAAGAAAGACTTTCCACAAAACTCACACTTCCATGGTCGCTCTCCAGTGTGCCTCTTCACATGCAGTTTGAACTGTCATAAAAAAAATTAGCAATCAAAACATGAACATACAGTGAAAAATTATGGAAACTTTTACTATTCATTTCTTTATAAATTAATTCACAGTAGTAATGAAAATTATTATATAAAGAAAGCCAAAATTACAAGAATACTTACAAAAAAACCCAGACATAAATGTTGAAGAGAATATCTTGTGCAGAGACCATGGGCTGATGACAGGATATATGTTTTCCAAGAAAAACTGCATCTCTTATTATTTCAAATTAATTTGAGTTTATATTCTGTCCTAAACACATATTGTGTTAACTCACAGCAGTTACAAATTTAAGGCTATTAATTTTTATGCTGATTTTGTTCATTCCTTGCAATAATTTGAGCTTCTTCTGCTATACGAAACCAATGTTCTATAGTTCACTGACAGATACTACCTGTGGCAGATTTATTTTATACTTCTTTACCTTTATTCATCACATTTTTATTACAGTGAAACCTCGATGCATCGTTTTCGGCGGGGGTGGGAAATAAAAACGATGAATGCGGGAAAACGATAGATGCGGGAAAGCATTAAAAATTTAAAAAAAACAATGTTTCTCTTTCAAAGTTACTTCTTTTTACCAAAAAAGTCTTTAATGGACAACTGGTTTGTCGAAACTTTACGTTTTAGACCAAACAGAGCACTTTCCACGTTCAAAATGTTTAACCGCTGGAAACGAGATGAACCAGAAGAATGAAAAGTGCCGCCAGCCTTTCCTTTGTACTTGTAATAAAAGCATTTGTGAAGAAATTCACACTGCACATGCCATCTGGCATCGCTGGAACGAAATATGAGTGCACCCTAATTAAAATCGTAAAATTTCTGACAATGGGCACCGCCATTCACTCCAACTATCACCCCTGCACCGCTGACCCTCATTCCAAAAGAATGTGCTGGTTGGGCGACATAACAGGTTACCGCTACTGTTTATTCCAAAAACATTGTGCGTCTTTCGGTATTAATTTATCTCTAAACCCAGCATTTTAAATTCTCAGAAACGATCATTGCGGGAAAATTGTGGGCCGGGACTAAGATTTTTGAACGATCGATGCGATAAAACGATAGTTCGAGGAACGATAGAAGCGGGAAAATGTAACATTATTTTATATGGGATGTATTAGGGACCGAACAAAACGGACGATGCATCCGGGAAAACAATAGTTCCGGGAACGATGGATAGAGGTTTCACTGTATATACTCATTCAGCAGGTTTTTGCAAGTGCTTGTGATAACAGATGTGATACATATGCAGTATTGGCTTGTTATTATTTTTAGTATTGTTGTTCTTATTATTATTGTGTGATTATGGAACACTGCAGTGACTGTGATAGTGAAGTGGAAGACATTTCTGTTTATGAGTCCATAAGTGACATTTCTGTGTCAGAAGCATACATTACAGACTCTATCACAAAGCACACAACATCTAAGCAGAACCTGAGATACTTCAGGATATTCAGTGTATTAAAATGCTTTTCTTGTGTTATGAAGTGTTTTTGAAAGTGCCTTACCTACATTACTTTATTTGTTCAAAAATCAATAAACCATTAATATGATATAATTTTTTTATAACAACCCTAATTATTTACAATCTTTCCTACATGGACATTCAGTAAATCTTCTGATATTGTCTAATGACGTGCAGAATACATGTCCAGTGACAATCTTCCTTAAACAACAGTACGTTACTTTACAGTTTTCTTGAGGATCAATTTGAGTTAAATCTATTTGTGAGGTCTGATGGATCGAACCTTTCAAGTCTCTTAACACAATGGCTTTTCAACAAGTCTGTGGCTAGTCGATTCGGATGAATGCTTAGCCTCGAGCTATATTTTTCACTGAAGTTCTTGATTTCCTCTTTCACAGAGGGTATATGAAGATCTTGCTGAATAACCCAATTCGGTACAAACCATGGTGCGTTAACATTGATTCTCAAAACTTTGGACTGGAAGCATTCAATTAAAATGATATAATGATGATAATTTTATGATTTCAAATTCAGAAAGAAATTATTAAGGCAAGTAATCAACAGCAAATTACAGTTTATGTAAGATTTGAAGTTTTCACAGCGGTGAGTATGAAGACAGAAATCTTCAAATTACAGTTTCTTTACTATAGACATTTTGATAGAACTACACATCTCATCACAAACATGCTTCCTAGATATAAAACTGGGGAACAACATGTTTGAAGACAGGATATTAAAAAGATCATAAAACACCAATCCAGAGCAAAAGTATGCTCAGAAAGACTTATAGAAAGATGGAGAAATTGTTTTGTAATTACTGAGCCTAGTACTTGGAAAGACGACAAAGACAGGTCCATATATGGCTGCCTGCCAATGACTTGGAATGCACTGATTATGTTGTTATTACACATGTTATGCAAATATGTTTAAAAAGTCTCTGTACTCAGACAACACTTAGAGAACACCTAAAATTAAAGGAATACTTCATTCAAATTTTGAAATGTGAGGCAAAAATTATTATAACCAATAAAAATATGTACTTAGGAAGGATAAGAGTAGAGATGTCGTTGCACTTTTGCACTAAGCCATGAAGATATACACGGAAGTAGAGGTAAAACACATTTCTTTAACCTTGGCCCTAGTGGTTAGTGGCCAGTTTCATACTCAGACCATATCACCTCTGAAGAAATAGCCATCAGCATCAATTACATAAAAAACCAGGTAGATACGACGGTGAAGAAAAATTATCTGCGCCTGCCAGGACTCATAGTCAGGACATCCAGCTAGTAACCAGTCACTTTAGTGAGATATCCTAGCTTACACTCTGGACAGAAAGCATAATAAAAATAAATGCCACGGTAAAATTAATATTAATTGGAAAAAGTTAAGTATATCAGAGTCACCTGGGAAGATGTTGTAAACTTCCTGCCACAGTAATCACAACAGAAAGGTTTTTCTCCTGTGTGTATACGTAAATGTTCTTGCAGGTTGCCATTCTGTGAGAAGTTCTTGTTACACACGTGGCACTGATATGGTTTCTGGCCTGAAGAAACCAATAATAACAATGAAGAGAATTACCATGTTACATTAAATTTTAAGCAGCCAGCATTCTCACTCTAAACTGAATCCATATTTATTTTAGACAAAACAAACACCATAAAATTCACTCATAAACCTTGTATTTAATGTTGGACACTGGAAAGCTTTCATCCTATATCTTCAAATAAATAAATCATCCTATTCACCTCACTACCAACAAATATAAGATAAATCAGGGCCCAGGCAACATTTGCTAGCAGAGTTTCGTGATTTTCCAACTACAATCGGAACCCGTTTGTCACTACCGTCACTGTTAACACACAGAAGAACAGTAATTCGGTGTTTTGCACGTATTCCCCCGTGGCAAGATTCACCTTTCAATGCCAGAGTCCTATCCGGGAGGGCGTTGTAGAAAAGTCCGGTCTCATCCGCATTATAAATGTCCCGCGGCTCATATCCCTCCAGCAGTGTTGGCAGTCTCTCGAGCCACAGCTCCGTTATTTCCACATCCACAGCAGCACTTTCGCCTTTCCTTTGTCCTTGTAATAAAAGCATTTGTGAAGAAATTCACAGTGCACATGCCATTTGGCATCGCTGGAACGAAATATGAGTGCACCCTAATTAAAATCGTAAAATTTCTGACAATGAGCACCGCCATTCACTCCAACTATCACCCCTGCACCGCTGACCCTCATTCCAAAAGAATGTGCTGGTTGGGCGACATAACAGGTTATCGCTACTGTGTATTCCAAAAACATTGTGCGTCTTTCGGTATTAATTTATCTCAAAACCCAGCATTTTAATTTCTCAGAAACGATCATTGCGGGAAAATTGTGTGCTGGGACTAAGATTTTTTAAGGATCGATGCGATAAAACGATAGTTCGAGGAACGATAGAAGCGGGAAAATGTAACATTATTTTATATGGGATGTATTCGGGACCGAACAAAACGGACGATGCATCCGGGAAAACGATAGTTCCGGGAACGATGGATAGAGGTTTCACTGTATATACTTTCTAGAATAAACTCTCACCAGTGTGCCACCTGTAATGTAGAGTGAGACTTGTCTTGTGTGCAAACTGCTGTCCACACAGTTCACAGAAGTACTTCTTTTCACCAGTGTGAGTTGGCTGATGATTCAGTAGATTTGCTTTTGTTTTGAAACTTGCACCACAAGACTTACAAACAAATGGTCTGAAAAAAAAATAACAAAATCAATTAAAATAAACAGACCGAACAAAATTCTGAAGATCAATTTCTGGATAACAACACACTCTTACATTTACTTCTACAAAATCCTTTACTACACAATGTTCTGGCTGTACTCTCACGTCTACTCTGATCACACATTACTACTTATTCTGAGACTCAAATGAAGATCTAACAAAGTGCATTGTCCTTCTGCCCAAGCTGAGGCTTCCTACATCATACCCAGGCACGGTCAGAGAAAATCAAATATCTATGGGACTGCAGCTATGACTTTTAAAATAACGTTGATATTTTCAATTGTAATTTCTTTGTGACCTCACTTGAAATTCTGCTCAATCAGAAAATGTCAATGGCCAATACTCTGTGCAAGAGTGTGAAAAATTGGAATGTACAGTTTAAATTTGCACCACAGGTGAGTTACCAATTCTGATGATACTTCAGGCTAACTTGTAACAGTGACACAAACTATAACTTGTAACGTGTTGTGACATCTGGTACCTTCTGAACTTGAATCATATTTCCGTTTTGTTAGACACTTGTTACTCTAACAGTACATTATTGCCTGAACTATGGCATCAACCTGTTAAAAGTTTGAAAACCTATAAAAACATCAATGTGTGTGCGTGCATGAATGCACGTGACAAGTTTTTACAAATTAATTTCATTGTTCAATAAATAGTAATCTTTCAAGTTAACATAATGTTTCTATACACAGAAGGCACTTCATGCTACTTCACATACAAAACAAGCAACTATAATTTAATTTTTTTCAATTCTGGATCAAAACAGAAAAATGAATGGCACAGATCTTATTTAAGCAGAACATAATGTTAAGCACATTAACAATGCTAGAGAGAGCATTACTGTGTTATTTTCAAATGTGTTGAAGTTCTAAGATACTCAATACAATCTTTTGTATGCTTCCTACCGGTCATCAGAATGAACCAACTGGTGCCTCTGCAGAAGCTGTTTATGTTTGAAACCTTTCCCACACTTGTTGCAGACAAACCGCCTCCCATTGTTGTGTTCTGCTTCCTTATGATACACTACAGAACTGGGATGATTCAACAACTTCCCACATATGTCACAAGGATAACCTTTCTCAGCCTTTTGCTCCTGCAAGATATGAAAAGCTAAAATGAAATGGTATAATACAGTACACAACAAAAGCGCTTTGACACTTGTATAATTAGATTGCTGAAAGTTAATCACTATTTGACATACTTGAACTCAAAAATTCATTAAAAATGAAAAAGTTCTACTATGCCTCTGCAACAACAGTGTGTTTGAAAATAAAACAAAAATTACCATTTTCTTAAATCAGTATGCACAGAAAGTACAGAAAAACTAGAAATGGTGGTAAGGATGCTACATGTAAACTAAAAGAAAGTGAAAAGGAGTATGCAAGAACCATGTCAATAAATCTTAGCGATGATTATTACAATTTCCACTCTTAATTCTGAAAGAACTCTATTCTTCAGCATAAACAAAATAAAGGTAAAGTCAACTTTAGTTTTCTGGTAACACAAAAGCGATTTTAGCAGCATCAAAGAAAGATGCTGGATATTAACAACACAAATCTTCCCATACTGGTACCCAGCTGGTTTCAAGTTTCAAGTAATGACAATATTATGACACATTTAACATGGGCATGTCACTGACAGAATGCATCAAAGAAGAACAATGATCTGTCAAATGAGTTTTGTGGTGATATGTGAAAGCTAGAAAAATGTAAGTAAGAGTTACAATTCACTGTGATAATAACAGTATGAGCCACAGAAAAGTTTACAAATTGGTGAAAAGGTCCAAAGGAAACAAGATGAGTGTTGATGTATGTTATGGGCAGACATTGATTCCCTAAATCTCCTTCTGTAACCTCCTGATCCTTCCTCTTATGCCATATGGCAGGTTCACTGAATAGCAATCACATCTGACTCATATTTGGAAGAGACCATTTTGAATCTCAGATAAGACACTGGCTATTTTGACAGAGCATATAATAAGTTGCCAGTCTTTCCTGGCAAATTCTTAAACACCTTGAAGTAAGAGGTCCACCATGTGTCATTATACACGTATCTCGTTCAATGTTACATAAACTTCTTCTTGGCCCTTGGCCTGTTCCGGACAAAGTGAACCTGTCATATTAGCCACAAAAAAAAATGACAAGTTTTAATTTAATGTGTAGATCAGCCAGACCTGACCAGGAAGAAACCAGTTTCATTTCTTTTAATATACACCACTTCAAACATCCACGTCATTGCCTTTCTATTGTTGATACAATCGAAGATAAAACTGAAAGCCTAACGTTAAAACATGTGGCATTTGTGATACTACCATGAAAACACAACCCAAAATGCAAATGTTTCATAAAAAACTTCATAATTAGTCAACCACCTTACAAATATGATATGTCTACTTATAGTAATTCACCAATTATTGTCATAAAACTAAAAACATTTTTATTTTATTTTTCACCTTATACAATAATAATACCTGAACACAAGATGAATAATTTAATCACATGTAATTTCAAAATCCTACATTAATAGCACATAGCTGTTTTCACAAATAAAATCACTCAAGGCAATTAATTCCAATACCAACTAGGGTTCATGAAAATACATCAAGAAAATTTTCAAGAATAACATACAGTGCACATCAGTGACTGGCATCAGATTATTGCCTGAACTTTTTTTTACAGTAGACTTATGACTTAAAGAATTTATTCTACAATTACATGTAAGACAGAAGTACCTCATGGGATAACATGTGCCCCTTTAGGCTGTTATGGTAGGCAAAACTCCTTCCACACACATCACATGCAAAAGGTCGTTGACCTTCATGGATTGCTTTTAAATGAACCTGAAATTAAAAACAAAATATAGTAATGAAACACTTCCTTCATTTATTAACATGAACTATGAGGAATTTACATGCTACCTTCCTTCCAAAAGCCTCAGTTTGTTATAAGACTAGCAGAAACTATGAATTAAAAATAACTTATAAAATGTAATGGTCCACTTCTGGACATAATTTCCACTGGTATAGATTTTTAATACATTAAAATGTATCAGTCCAGCATCAAGGCATATGCACAGTCCAGATAGTTGTGCATCAAGCTAGCATTCCACTAAACTATTAAAACCAGGATTTAAAGTCCAGCCAACAGTATCATTGTACAGAAATCAAAATCTCTATACCCACTCAAAATGTACACATCTGGAAACAACAATGACAAATAGAAATTAGGTCCATGATGAAATTGTGAGTAGAATACATTCAGGAAACACTTGTTTTTATTCAATTCAAAAACTGTTATCATCTAGTTTGCTAACCAAAACACTAAAGATCAGGATATATGAAACAATAATTTTGCCAGCTGCCTTGTATGGTTGTTAAACACGGTCTCTTACCTTAAAGGAAAAAGGAGTTTACAAGTGTTTGAAAACAAAGTGCTCAGGAATATATTTGGACCTAGGAAGGATGAAATAAGTGGGGAATTTAGAATACATCATGAGGAGCTGCGTAAATTGTATAGTCCACTTAACATAGAAAGAACAGTGAAATCTAGGACGCTCTGATGGGATGGACATGTAGCACACATGGGGAGGCAAGGGATGCATACAGAATTTTGGTGAGAAATCCTTCTGGAAAACCATTGGGCGGACCAAGAAGGAAATGGGAGGATGGCTGTGAGGATGGAATTGGCTCAGGATTGTGTCTGGTGGCAGGCTTTGATGTTGTCAGTGGCAGACCTGCAGGTTCTGCTACCAGGAGGGAGTTAGTTAGTTACACCTGCTAGATAAGCCTCCAAGTTTCACACCACTATCATGTTTGTAATAGTAAATACAGAGTATACACAAAAGAATGGTGTGGTATCAAAAGTTAATACAAAAATTATTACCCCAACTGAATACCAATTATGACGATTACATTCTACAACTGGACGGAGCTCCCCCCATTTTCACAGGAATGTACGAGTGCTTCTCAATCGTTTTTTTCCACAGCGCTGGATCGGACGTGCTGCTGCAAATGGAGACGACAACCTTCTCCCTTGGCCACCCTGTTCGTCAGATCTTACGGTGTGATTTCTTTCTTTGGGGGTTCGTTAGACAGTGTTTATGTACCACCATTGCCCATGTCCATCCATGAACTTCGTGATCGGATAACACATGCACTGCAGGCCATTACAGCGGACATGCTACACCAGGTCTGGGATGAGTTTGATTACCGTGTGGATGTGTGTCGTGTGACCCAGGGTGCACACATTGAAGGATTGTAATTAACGCATGAGAAACTTGGACAGTTGCCACCACTGACGGTGTATGTTGTGCCCGTGTAAGGTGAGAAATAAATTTTTTATTAACTTTTGAAACCGCACCATTCTTTTGTGTATACCCTGTATAACAAAAAAATTTCACAGATATAATTGGGTATGTTCATTACATATTCCCATACAAAATTCCACATGCTCTAATTGTCCATTAGTTACTTTTTTAACTACTTACCATCCTTACATGCACCCTAAGATTCAAAATCTGCAAATGAGAATTTACTGATGTCACCTTTTGTAGTCTGTTTATATCTAACAGCAGCCAAGGTTATAACTTAACATGACAATACTGCTTACCAGTTGACAAAACTTGAAAAACAAAGCTGTATCTTTTAACACACAGGGAAATTATACTATTTAACATACACAAAAGTTTTAACACATTGTCAACAGATATCCTACCACTCCAGGACAAATACTACTACATAAATGAGATGCACAGGGCTACAAAGTTTATACCCGCAATAATGCAAGTTCCATAAAAACTGACTGTTAGTACACCTCTCACTACTGTGAGCTCTGCAGCAGTAGATTCAAAATATAAAAAGAGTGGCCTCTACTGATACAATGTTCATACTTAGTTTCATTAAAATCTGTCAAATGGTTAAAAAGAATTGTCAAAGACAAGAAACACTCGTCCAGCCGTTTGAAAAGTCAAAATACAATTCAGCCAACATCAGTTTAAAACCAAATGTACCTCATAACTCTGCTTTGTCTGGAACGTCTTCTCACATTGGTCACAAGGATAGCGATTACCAGATGCCAATTCTTCAGCATTCTCTCCATCTTCCAAACCCTCGATAATACCTGCAATAAAAAGTCCTAACCTTAAGCAACCTTAAGTCTTCCAAATGGCATACACCTCTTCAAACAATATGCATTAACCCCTGACAAAAATTCTCAGCCACATACATGATACATGAAGTGTCATTCTTAACACTTTTGCTACACATTATTTTTTCACTGCTTTCCTAAAGGAATGTAATTTTAAAGCAAACATCTTAACTCACTATGAAGATCAGATTATTATGTACATATATAAATAAACATCTTAACATTACCAACACACATACCAAAAATAACTTTGGCTTTCAGGCGAGAGTTGCGTTAACCAATGCGGCAAAAAATATGGACTGCACTTCAATATGATTTTGTCCAGTACAGATTTATAAGCTCTTCTTTTTTCAATTCACCTTATCCTCAGCACGTGTGTGTGTGTTCCAGAACAAGAGCAGAAACATGTCCCTTGGGAACACATCCAAAAAGCAAGCTATATTGTTCACCCATGCTTAGAAGTAACCAGTAATACAGATATGGGACATCGGCCCATATTTACCACATCACTTAGCACAGCCTTGATTCAGCTAGGGTTGGAAGAGACCAGTCTGTGATTCTCTTTTTGTATGGGGCACATTCTGCATTTTCATTTGTTTCCATTCAGTGTGGTTTCCTGCAGGATGAGGTCCGACATATCCAGATCAAAAAAAGAGCTCAAAATATTCAACAGGCTCAGATGTCCAATCAAAAATTGATAGCACAACTGCTTTATGTCGAGTATTTTGCTCTAAAATTGCTGTTCTCAGTCCAGGGTGTGAATCAGCAACCTGAAGCAAGTCACTTACTTCTGTCACTTCTGCTATACTGACAGCCAAGAGTACCACACTCTCCCTCTCACTAGCATCACCATTACTTTTTTCACAATCACTGTCACTAGAACTAATGCCTGGTTCACTTCCACTGCTAATATCTAAGATAGAGACAATTTCATCATCATCTCACTCTCTTTTTCTTACCGTCTTTCATAAAAATATACAAAAATTAACAGCAACCACCTGTCAAGTAACCAAAATACACACACACACAGTAACCAAAGGCTACCCACACGAAATAAAAATCCTGCCATATGTTACACCTTGTGGTACTACACATACTTCCTCTGAACATTAGTCATCTACCCGGCTTAAAACAACGTCTTATGACAGAAACTGGTTTACATAGAACATTTCGTAAGCTACAGATACGTCAATTTTCTGCTCGGGAAAAGTTAAAAAATGCAATAAACACACTTCATTTTGTGACCTCTAACACTATGACAGATTTAAATTCAAATTAAATTTATAAACATGTATAGACCCCAGGAATTCAAATGCTGCATCTTAAACATTAAGCAACAAACAGCCAGTATATTTACTCAATTCTAAGCCTACTTAAATAATTATGAGGCTGTAAAAAGGTTCTTCGTGGAAGAACAATGCAACCTTCTGTTTGCAAAATTACGGCATATTAACAAAACAAGAGTGCTAAATTATAATAGTGAATGTTAATGCAACATTATGACACGTTTTTCTGCGACTATATCCTGACTGTCTATTAAATTCCAAGGGCTGTAGATGCAGTACAGAGAGACTCAGAACAACATTTCATCCTATCTGGGTTGTGACTCCTCAGACATAAATAGTTGCATTTTTCCAAAGCATATTCTGTTCTTATTAAATTCCAAAGTTCTAATGTGGTGTATTCAGGAAGCCAAAGTTCACAGTGGACTGTAGAGCTTGAGGAGGAGGAGGAGAATGTGGTTATTATTCTGAGTAATGGTAACAGGATTTTCCCTTAAGCTGTATTCTGGAGAGGGAGCGAGGATAACTGCTGTTCCATGGGTTTAGGCACCTCAGTCCATCTTGAGCAAACACAATAACAAACAAGGGATAGAAAACGCTAGGCAGTTAAAAACAATTATTTATATATTTTCAATGTTTCTCTATCTTGGAGACCACAGCACAAGACTTTGTAACAAACTGTGACACAAACCAATTACCTTGCCATTAAAAAAAATTTTGATTACAAGCCACACCCCACTTTTAAGAACCGCACAAATGTAATGAACGAACAGCTTATATTCACATAAATTTGGCAACTTTCAAAACAGAACTGTGACTCACCCTCCCCAGTATGTCCTGTTGTCTTTTGATGTAGATCAAAATTGTCTTTGTTAGAAAATCTCTTGTTGCATGTATTACACTGAAATTTAACTCCTTTATGATAACTCCTAAAACAAAACAAAAAAGACAATTACACAATATTTTCAGTTATAGCATTTATAAGAATATCAAATAAGTAACAAACAACAATTAACACTATAAAAAAGACACTATTTGTCTTTTTTATAGTGTTAATAGTTGTTTGTTACTTATTTTATATTCTAATACACTACACGGTATGCATAGCTTTAAGATTTATAAGAATAATATGAATAATGGATAGCCACTACATACTTATGTACAATATATCTCCCCTTATGCTGGAAACCCCGACCACATATTTCACACTGAAAACGAATCTTCCTTCTCTTGCCTCGAGGTCTGCCTCTTCCTCTGCCTCGATTAACAATTACAAGTTCTCCAAGGTCCTGTCCTTCCTGCGTTTCCAAGTGACCAATAATCTCTGCTGCAATACAAATATTTTTGGTTTAATGAGAAGTACAAAATGAAGTCTAACAAAACTACTGTACAAAAAAAAGTTAGATTCTTGAACTGCTTAAACAAGACCTTTGCTTCCAGAGTATCCTTCACATGCTGACATATAACCAACCTGGCATAATGTCTGATTTATATGGAAAATGAACAATGAAGATGAAACTTAAATAAAATTTTGGTGTTCATTTAGAAATTTTAAAGAGTATTGGACCAACTACCTAACAACTTATCAAAATATCTAAATAAAAAACCTTTTCCAGAAGTAATTCTAGTCAATCTATTTGATACAAGCAAATATATGTCACTTTTACCATCATTTCCATCATGATCTCCACTAATTGCTTTCTCTTCTATTTCATCCTCATCTTCCTCTTCAGGTTCATCTTCATCAATTACACCTTCTTCTCTGAATATTCTTTCTAACTCCTTCCCTTGCACAGCTTCTCTGAACCTTTCAAAACAATACACAAACAAACAAGACATACAAAAATAAAGCACTACTGATGAACATTTAATGGTACGAGGCGCGTCCACAAAGTAAGTTTCCCACTCGTCCCACAGCTAGCAAACCTTATATTGCGCGAAGCGACTGTGCATACGTGATAGAGCAATGACGTAGCATGGCGCATACACTAACGGCACTTCCCGCGTTCTCACAGTAGCATCGTTGCAGCTGTTGAAGATAGAGGTTCTTATTCCAGCTCCCGCCGACTGTGAAGTGCGGTCAGTGATAACGCTAGGCCGCACACGGCTCGACGGACAGCAAGTCTCCTGCAGGAGTTCAGCTGGGAGGTGTTTAATCATTCACCCTACAGCCCGGACCTCGCTCCCAGTGATTTCCATCTTTTCCTACACCGCAAGAAATTCCTGTCCGGTCAGCGTCAGCGTTTTGAGAATGACAGAGAGGCGGAGATGGTTGTCACACAGTGGTTCCAATCCCAGGCGGCAGACTTCTACGACACAGGTATTCAAAAGTTGGTCCCACGGTATGACAAATGTCTCAATTCCGGTGGCGAATATGTTGAAAAATAGCTGGACACTTGCTGTATCTGTTGCAATAAATATTTCCATGAAATTGTGTTTTGTTTCTGTAAATGGCCCCAGGGAAACTTACTTTGTGGACGAGCCTCGTACATGCTGTGTTTTCAGACAAACTTAACTTATATAAAACTATGAAATCTGCAACAAAAAGGGGGAAAGGGAATGTTCTCCAACAATCAGGCCTTGTCCTGCTGATTTACTGACATCTTCATGAAACTGGCTTACTTTCATTAAGAACTTCCAAATCTCTGTTTAGCATCAATAATAACAATAGCAAAAATATGATCTAGGAAAAATTAGCACATTCATATAATCTAATAAGAAACTCAACCAAGAAAGCCAATCTTTAGGCTAAGATTTAAATCTGAGACCTCCAGAATATAAAGCAGGGCAGCTAACCATTACACAACAATATTTTGTTAACTCCAAAACCAAAAAGTGCCAGTTACTAAAATCAGAGATTCGTGAAATTATGAGTAACACAGGGAAGTCAACACTTAACAATGTTTCCCTTAAAGTATTCATAATGTACCAGGGTACTCATTTCATGGACGTCTTGAGACTTCTTTTCATATATGCATTTTACGGCCACCCCATACAAACCACCCAGCTTCATGGGGGAAAAAAGTCAATGAAGTATACAAATTCTTTGATATTTTGCATATTTCACAAGTGGTAAATCCTGATCCAGAAGTCAGGCAGAAAAATAATGCTATTAAATCTCCCACATCAAACAAAGCATAACAATAAGGAACCCTTTCATGATGTGACCTTGATCATAAACAGATAAATTGCAAGTGTGTGAACAAAACTGTACTCCAAACAGGTTCAAATGAATGTCTTTGGTGAATGTTCAGGTTTCATAAGAGAAAGAATATAAAATAAGCAAACAAACTATTAACACTATAAAAAAACACTAGTGCCATACGCGTTTCAACCTCAAGAGGTCATCATCAGTGGCAACTCTCACAAACAAGCTGCATTCAATTTCCTTGTAAACAGATTGCACAAAATACCATTCTCCAAAGAAGAATTTGATAAAGAAACTAAACTCATCCAAGGTATAGGATACAACAACGGTTACAACTTTAATGATATCACAAGATCCTATAACCTAATAAATGCACCTAAACCCAATGTCAATGTACCCCAACCAACTAACAAAGTATAGTCCAGCTTTACATTTTTTAATAATAGCATTACAACACTCACTAAAATATTCAAAAACACAAATGTAAAAGTAGCATACAAAGTCAACAATACCATAAAATTCAAATGCAGTTCAAGAAAACAAGGTAACAAATACAATAATAGTGGTGTATACCATTTAAAATGCAGAAGCTGCGAGCAGGTCTATATTGGCCAAACCGGTAGGGATTTTAAAACTAGATTTAAAGAACACGTCCATGACATCAGGTTCAATTTAACAAAATCGAATATGCCCAACACGTCCTCGAACATGGACATGAATACGGCCCCATAGAAAATATCATGGACATATTAAAAATAGGGTAAAATGCTAGATATTTTAGAAAAATTCCACATATACAAAAGTAGTAAAAACAAAGCCATCATTAACGAACAAAACGCCCGTGATCCTAACATATTATTTGACCTGGCATTAAACAGGAAAAAGCAAATTTTCAATAGTTGGCCACCCTGACTTCAAGCTTATATATACCCCACACATTCGAAAAATGGTAGTAACACCCACGCTTCGTTGGAGTTAACAGGTACGGATGATGCAACTACAGCTCACCGCAGACCAGCTACGGCCACCGGACCATCGGATCAATAGCAAGTGTAGAGTACAACTCCTGTGAAACCAACATCTAGTGCAGTGTTGCTTGATATGCTTTTGTAAAACAACTCCACTTCATGATTTGTTTTCTAAACCATATTTGAAACAATTTTAAACCATTTGGATTAAATAAATTAATTCCCCTGTTGCCACTGATGATGACATCTTGAGGTTGAAATGCGTATGGCACTAGTGTCTTTTTTACAGTGTTTGTTTGCTTGCTTATTTTATATTCTCATACACTACACGGTATGCAAAGTTTTAAGATAAGAGAAAGAAATTTGTGAATTTTAACCAAATGCTCATAAAATCCAATATAACAGAGTAAAATAGATAACTGGTTGTATTATAGACATATGAACACTTCATAAAATTGTTGCCATGATCACATACCTCTGCGGCACTTTCCTTTTCCTTCGTCTCCTTCCATCAGCATCTTCTTCCATTTCTTCAGGGTCTTGAGAAACATCTGGTGATTCCAATTCCTTTTCTACTTCTTTTTCTTCTGTAGACTCTACCAGTCTTTTCGGAGGACGTCCACGTTTACGACGTGGTCTCTCCAAACCTTCCATCTTCAGTGCCATCTC